TTTTTTTTTTTTAGAGATTTTATTTGAGAGAGAGAGACACGGTGAGAGAGGGAACACAAGCATGGTGAGTGGGAGAGGGAGAAGCAGACCTCCCAGCGAGCAGGGAGCCCGACGCGGGGCTAGATCCCAGGACCCTAGGATCATAACCCGAGCCGAAGGCAGATGCTTAACGACTGAGCCACCCAGGCGCCCACAGTTTCTGTCTTCTGATAGGAACCAGCCAGACTGATGACAGTTAATCAATTGTATGTCCAGCAGTGTTCGAGGCAGGAGTGAGACAGACAAGGTACTTGCTTTTGAGCTTATATTCTACAGAGGTTGTTAACTAAGACCTAACTTACAAGATAGACTGAGCCATACAAAATTTTGAGGCAGAATATTCTAAACACAAGGGGACAAGTGCAAAGAACCTATTGATAATGAACTTGATATATTTGAGAAACAGAAGGCCCAGTGGGGCTAGACTTCTGTGAGCAAAGAGTAATGAGAGATGAAGTTGAAGAAGTAAACCTTTTAGGTAGAGTAACCAGAAGATATTTTTAGAGGGGTTTTGATAATGAATGAAAGCAACGTATTCTACGTTACACCAGGGTAATAGGAGTCATCTGGGATGTATGGTCACCGAATTTACAGGCCACAGTAAAGGAGTCTGGATGCTATTTTAAGTGTGACAAGATGTAATCAGAAGGCTTTAAGCGGGGGAGTGACATGATCTTTTTGACTACTCTGGTTATTGGAGAATGGATTAAAAGAAACAAAGATGGAAAAAGGGATCTAATATCCCCAGAGTTAAGGAGAATATGGTGCAGTCACCAAGCTCTTTCAGGACATTCAGGGTTTCATTGTCATTCCTAACATAAGAGTACCAGTGTGAGGATTATGTTTGCCCGTAAGGAAGGCTTTATGGAGCTCATGCTTGGGCTAAATAGAAATAAAAAGTAGCCGCTTTTGGCTTTCGGCTCGGGGAGGCAAAGGTGCAACTTTCTTCGGCCGTCCCGAATCCGGGTTCATCCGACACCAGCCACCTCTGCCATGCCGCCTAAGTTTGACCCCAATGAGATCAAAGTCGTGTACCTGAGGTGCCCCCGTGGTGAAGTTGGTGCCACGTCTGCCCTGGCCCCGAAGATCGGCCCGCTGGGTCTGTCTCCAAAAAAGGTTGGTGATGACATCGCCATGGCAACCGGTGATTGGAAGTGTCTAAGGATTACAGTGAAACTGACCCCTCAGAACAGACAGGCCCAGATTGAAGTGGGACCTTCTGCCTCTGTCCTGATTATCAAAGCCTTCAAGGAACCACCAAGAGACAGAAAGCAGAAAAACATTAAGCACAGTGAAACTATCACTTTTGATGAGATCGTCAATATTGGCCGAGAGATGCGACACCGATCTTTAGACAGAGAACACTCTGGAACCATTAAAGAAATCCTGGGGAGTGCCCAGTCTGTGGGCTGCAATGTTGATGGCCACCACCCTCATGACATCACAGATGACATCAACAGTGGTGTGGTGGAATGCCCAGCTAGTCAACTACAAAGGAAAATGTTTCAATAAAGGATCATTTGACAACCAAAAAATAAAATAAGTACCATTCAAATAGCTTTAGTAAGGACGGGGAAACGTAGCGGAGGGAATATCAGAAGTCCATAAATGTAAAGTCCATAAATCTTGAAGGCATACATGTGTTAGAGTGATGAAGTGAGTGTGGGTGTTTTCTTGTCTAAATGGGAGCTAAGAAATGATAAACTAAATAGGTAACAGGGACCTTGTCCTGGGGTGGGGGGTGTGTGTGACATCGGTAGGGGGCTTAAGTTTTATTTTCTGTAGTTGACTGGAAGCTACTGAAGGATCTTAAGTAGGATGGTGACATAAATGTATTATGGGGGCACCTGGCTGGCTCAGTTGGGGGGACGTGCAACCCTTGATCTTGGGGTTGTAGGTTCCAGCCCTACGTTGGGTGTAGAGATTACTCAAAAATAAAATCTTAAATACATGTAATATGGATATCCTGACATCAGCATAGGATGAGTTTCAGAGAGCAAAGACCAGAGGGGTAAGGAAGTGAGAGAAAAGAATTCTCACTGGGGAAAGAAAGCAACACACTAAGGCTGTTCATCTCATCTGCATCATGAACAAGTACCACTATTTTCGTATGTATTAGACTTTTAGGAAGCTTACTCCAGGTTAACAGGTACTGAGTGGCCAAACCAGGATTTAAAGCTGATTTTGTTACAGGAAGGACAAAAAAAAAACAAAACCCAAACCAAACCAAATCAGCAAGCCCATGATGTCATATGTACATTCAGAATTTTTATTTCAAAACAAAGAAACACAGTAACATTAATAATAGAAAACCCATTTGGAAATATTCACAATCTGGTCACTGAGAAATGGGAAAACTTCCACACAGCATTACTGCCAACCTACTGGTTTTGAGGAGCCGGAAGTAGAGGTGCAGTTAAATCACCTGTTGAACCAAGCCCCATTCCATATAAGCTGTTTTTTCCCCAAAACGCTCAATGACCAGGGGGAAGAGTGAGAACTGGTGACTAAAATACTGTCATAGGCAAGGGTTTGGCTAAAGGGTCTGAAGTATGTAAGCACCAAGGAGAGAAAGGGTGATCAGGCAACATATAAAAGAAGGAAGACAGAGTAGGTGTCATGGGGCCCAATCTCCATTCATAAAAATACTGGGAAACTAGATTGTACAGGTGTCCATGACCTGGGGCAAGTGTACATCCCTCCACCTCATCTGGTTCTCTAAAATGCTCCCGAGTTATAAGTCTTCAGTTTGTTTCTTACCCCTTAAAAGAAAGGTTCCTTCTGCCCTATGACTCCCCTCCAAGAGGCCACATGTTCTGATCTCACATTTTCCTTTCATACTGCCATTGTCTGGGTCTAGGGGGAGGCAGAGTCCTCCACCCTCAATCTCAAGATTTAAGGAGTTCTCCCCACAGTTGTCCAACAAGGAAAGGTAGCCAGATGCCTCTGAACTCTGAAGTCTGGAATGAAACCGTAGATGCAAATTCCACCCAGCAGAGGCAGTGTTCTTTATATATAGAGAGATGAGTTTGAAGGCATTCTATTCAAAAGGGGGCTGTAGGTACATAAAGGACACAAGTTACCAGTCATCTACTTCCACCAGAGCAAAAGTGACAGTGCACATACATTCATACTCTCTCAAGTGTGGGCTACACTGCACATTTACTCGTATTATCCCAAATGTATGGTCTCCTAAGGGCGCTTGACGTCATACTATGCGAATATGGCAACAGAACAAGCATGCGATGACCCTTAGCGACAACATACTTCAACTAGGTAATAATCGTTCAGGAAAAATCCTCTCCCAGAGCTGAGGTTACAAATTCCAGGTTAGTTTATGAACATTCTCCTCTGAATTCTTTTAAAGCTATGGCTTAAAACAAAATATCAACAACTAAAATCTCCTAAAGAACAAAATGGAGAAATACAGAACCTCTACCAAGAACCACTATTTTGGGTTCCTCATTTGGAAGGTTCTCCCACCAGGCGGGTATTAGGAATACTTTAACCCCCACCCCCACAGTGAGTCCACTCTAAGGGGAAGAAGTTGTTTTGTCCAGTGAGGGGAGAAAGGATATCTAGAAATAACCTTCCCTTCTCTGGACTCCAAGCAAAATTAGAACCTATCCACCACCATGAGCTATAATGCCCATATGAATAACCCTAGATTTCAAGTAACACTACATATT